GCTGAATTTAGAACAGCTATTGTTCCTTAGATTTCATGTGAAATTTGAGGTGTTTAAATTGTTTTAAAAATTGTTCTAATTGGAGGGTTTTTTAGTAACTATGTTTCCATGCTGATGCTTCTTTGAAGAAATGAAGGAAAATTATCTTCAGGGCTTTTATTTAGCATTTAAAGTTCTAACCTGAAAAAGTGAGACAGGTTTGTTGTTGTTGTTGGTTTTTTTTTTAAAGGTAAGTAAAAATTGTATGTGGTTTCTGGGGTGCGGCTAGTAATAAAAGTTTATCATTAACCAGGGTATGACTGTGAAGTTGTCTCTTCATCTCCTTTAATTTTTTAAGTACTTGAAATAAAGAAATCTCCTCAGGATTGAGAGAACTTTGTATAAATAGCATAAAGCCAAGTGACTTTGGAAGCTCATTAAATTAACTGAGGATTTCTAACTATTAAACGAATGTAATAGCATTTGGTAGTTAACAGGAAAATAAAAGGAAAGCTGGTGTGCTAAGGACATGATTATTGTCCCCTCTAGATTCTTTTATATGAAGAAGAGTAATGAGAGCTTGGCAATAAACTCAGATTCTTGTTAAATAGTTCCCGAGTAGTTTGTTTCCCTAAATTTTAAGTAGTAAGGCAAGTAAGGGTGACTTGCAGTCATCTAATGAGCCAACTGTTTCATATTTTATATAGAAGAAATGTTGTGTATCCTCATGGGTGTCATGCTATTTTGTGTATGTTGCTGCAAAAGCTGTAAATGTTAATCTGAAGCATTAGCCAGTGGATCACCTGTCTTTGTTTGGGGAATGGAATTAATTATACATGGTTTTGGAAAGCCACTGATGGCTGATAATGTTTGCCAGCCTGCCCTAGATTTTAGTGCTCAGAGTTTTGAATTCACTAGGCGGATGTTTTCAACAGTAGTAATCTGAGAGATATTTATGCATAAATATAAAAATATAACAATACCTGCAATTCAATCCCAACCTTGTTGTTTAATTTCGTTGAATGCTTTAAATGCTTTTTCAGTCAATGTGATTTGCCGAAAGTCAGTATTTTATCTTAGTATCTTAAATGATAAATAGTGCATGAACCTTTCACTGACATTTCACATTTGAAATGTAGAAGAATTAGCCCTGTCCTGCTACAAGTTAAACATATATATATATATTAGTGATGCAAGTTACTGTCTATAGGCTTCCTGCCAACTTTTAGTAAGTCCTTTTGAGAAGTGGTCTTCCTTGTTATGGTCTCTGTTTGTGTGTGATGATCATTTTTTTGGTCAGACGGGTGGGAGAAGCTGGTTGTGGGGAGAGGTGAAGCAAGAGAGCAGTAAAGGAGTATGTGAGACCCAGATGTGACTGTCATGTTGCTGCCTGTCTGGAGATGCTTTCCCTGCAACCTAGCGTGATGTAGAGGGGAGAGGGACTGCTGGAAAGGTGGTGTCACCAGCTTGGCTGATCCTTGTACGGGTCAGAGGTTGGCTTGGCTGACAAAGACATTGCCCAGCTCTCCCGTGCCCAGAGGAGCAGGGTGGAGCGCTCGTGGTCAGTGCTGCTTTCCAGGTCTTATCACAATGAACGCATTCACGGTGAAGGAGTGGAGAAATGGTGTTTTCTTAATGTATACAAAAAAATAAGGACTTTGGTAGTGAAATGCCCAAGAAAGCTGTATCTCTGGCTGAGCAAGGGAAGTATTGTCTGTGTGGCTTGTTTGGTATGTTTTGTCTTTTTTTTTTTTTTTTAAGTGAAGTGGGCAGTGGTATCAGGATGACAACTTGCATGCAAAATTGCAAGAAAATCTTACCTTTTGAGTGAATATCTTCTCTTAGGGTAATAAATGGGAGTATTGTTGTTGGCCCCTTGTAGGGTTAGAAATTGTTTTCCTATATGTCTTGTGAAGGAATATAAGGAACAAAGTAGTTCAATAGGAAAAGGATGTAGCTGTAGGAATGCACGGTTACATCAGAATAACAGATGAGTCACCACTGAAATGCCACATTTATAGAAAAGGAGAATTTACTTTTTTGATTAGGCAGTTCCTTTCTCCTCCTTTCACAATTTAAAGGGAAAGTTTCCATTTTGTTTAGATTTTAATGACCTCATTCCTTAAGATGAAATCCTTCTGAATGAAAGCCTTATTTTCTCCTAGAGTTATATTTAACAGAATGCTTTCATAGAGAGAAATAGTTGCACTAAGCTTGCAAATTCAAGACCAGTAGTTTGTAGGAAACTAATATAATATAAAAGAGTTTCCATGCACTAGTTATTTCTGTAGTACAAGCAACCAAACAAAGCCTTACTACTGGAAAGGTATTAATTAAAAAAACCCTCCAAAACCACACATTGTCCAAGGCTAAAGTAATTCTTTCTTCTGTAGTTGTGTGATATTATTGGATCTTCTTGTTGCTGTCAGCTTTGTGGTCTTGATTAATGAATGGATTTCTTGAGAGGTGAAACTTCAATGAGAAGATGTGTTGTTAATAATTCTTACCCTTTATCCGCTTAATTCTGGGTGGAGTCTTCTATCTTTTCTTGACCAAATCAGTTACAATAAAGAGCAAATAGATAAAGTGTGTTTTGCAAGTGTCAGGTTTAGAAAACATTAGATTTGTTTTCTTCTCAAAAAATAAACATTTCAAATTTTAAACCTAAGTTAAGGCTTAGGGAAGTGATGCATGCTTGAGTTTCCTTAATTTTTTAAAATTAATTGTAAATGTGCTGTTTTCTGAATTGATCTGCTTGCCAGATAAATTTAAGAACTGGATTTGCAGTTTGCATACAGAAATCATTGCTGGGGTTTGCTTTTTCCAACAGTACCTGCTTGTTTTGATGATGCAGAAGCCATTTGGTTAGATACCTAAGGCGCATCCCACTGAAATTTTGTATTGCATTTATTTCATTCTGTAATACTGAATTTGTATGAAGAGAACAATCTTCAGCTTTCTGATGTTGCGTAATAGCTCTGTTCTTCTTTTCAGATATTGTGGATGGAAGTGACCTGAAGCAATTTTTTGAGAACAATTATTCTCAGATTTATTTTATATTCTATGAAAACTTCGTAACACTGGAAAATAGCTTGAAACAAAAAGGTAAGTTTTGGAGTTTTGCTAGCAATTGAGTCAGTGTTCCCTAACTGTTCTCAAAGGCATTCTGTTGGAGCTTATCTAGTGACTATATAATCCACAGTTATCTGCATTTGCATCAGTAGTTTCATGCAGTACAGTATTAGTGTTAATCGTTTTAATTTTATGGTATGAGAAGAGATGAGAGTGGAAAATTGCTCTCTGAAGTGTCATAAGTAGCTGAAAAGAATTCTAAACACATTTTTATGGCTTTAAGTGTCATTGCAGGACAAAAATGAGTTCTTGTGCATTTATATACCTATCTTCTCATCTTGTTCTGAAGTATTGAAGGCCTTCATCCTACAATTAAGCAGATATCTTCAACTGAAATGTTGTCAGATCCACAGAACAAATCTCAGTGCTGAAGATATGTCAGCAGAAATAGCCATTTGCTTGGAGATGAGCACAGTGACAGTGCTTTGCAGATCTGGGGCTCTGGTTGTCCCTCATTCATAATTGAGAGAGGCACTGAAGTTTGGAAACATCTTGCTCTTTTGACAGTAGATAAAGATGAAGAAAAATAAACAGAGTGCAACATCTTTGACTTCACTTGAATAACAGCGTAATTTTGACATTTGTCTCTTACTGGAAATTACAAGAAACAATGTTGTTTTCTGTTTTGTAGGGAATAAATCACAAAGGGAGGAGCTGGACTCCATTCTCTTGCTTTTTGAAGTAAGTTTTCCATACCATGAAACTAATTTTTAGTTTAAATCTCATTGTCATTATATGCTTACATACACCTTTACAATGAGGAGTGAAACCGGGTATGAATCAAAATGACGGTAGGTGTCTGTGACTGTACAAGGTGAAAGGCAGAAAAGAACTAGGGTGTGCACTGGGTTTTGACATCCAACAACAGCAAAAATTTTATCATGCAATGGGAATGTTGGTTGAATGAATTTCCGAAGTTAAGAGATTTTATCAAAATGACTTGAAAAAAGTACAGTAATATATCTGTCCTAAGGAACTGAGGATCAATTCTTTGAAAATGTCCCATTGCTTTTCAGTAGAATTTGGGAGCAAGTGATCAGTAGTTGAGTAGTCTCTGTAAGGGTGAAGCTGTCAAAATAGGCTCTTTTCTTTTTTTTTTAACTAAATATGTTCTTGCTTCTGTATTTTATGGGGGGCTAGTTCAAAACAACAGTACTTTTTCCCTGCATTTTGTCAGTATGAAGTTCAGTTATATTTATTTTGAATGTGTCACAGTAGGAGTTTGGGCTCAACTCTTTTCGGATGGAGGTATCTATTATGATTGCAGTATTTGGTCTTGCAATACAAGAAAGATAAAAGGATAAGAGTTGTCAACAACTGCATATCAGTTTGATCTGAGTGTGTAGAATGTTAATTTGTTCAATGCTTTTAAAATTTTTTTTTCTTTTTAATTTAGTGGAACAACTTTTACTTCCAGAAGCATATCCTTCGCAGCACTGGTGGTCATAACATTTGCGGTGTCTAGGGAGGAAATATTAGTTAATTAACTTTTGCATAGTCAAATTAGGATGTCTTTAATTTACAGAAGAATAGACTGTGGTAGATATTTCCCAAGAGATCTCTTTAATTAGAGTTATTACCTAAATAAATTTGAATGTGAGAAAATATCACTGGACCAGATGAAAACCTAACATGTAAAAAAATTTTTATAATGCACACCAGAAGTCCTAGCATAAGTTCTACCTGTCTCTGAAGTCAGAGATCAGTGGTGCCATTAGTTGGTTTTTTTAACAATTCATTGGGTAAATAACTGGCCTGGTTTCTTTCTGAAGGGTAAATACGTGCATCTTCTGTTGATTTCTCTTTGTTAATCCAACTATTAACTTTTCACTTGAGTATTGCATCATAGAAATGTTATCTTTGTTTGTATTGTGGGTTATTTTTTGGTAGGGGGGTAGAAAAAAATTTTCAGTGGAACTCTGGAAATGGAAATTAAAATGAGGGTTAAATGTTCTCAACTCTTGTCCCTTTCTCTAAAAATGAAAAAAAAAAACAACCTGACCCAAACCAAAAACCTCAGAAGTCTGACTTCATTTTATTGCATTAATGTGTAGTTTGTAGTTAGAGTAATATTCATGTTGACAGTAAGAATGATGCTGTTTAGCCTGCAATATGAAAAATGGCCATCAAAATGGTGACATGAAATCCTGGCTTTTTCTGGTCTCAAGTTCTGACTTCCATGATGTAGCAAGTTCATCTGCCTTTTCTTCTCTCTCCCTTCACTCCTTTAACTACAAGACTGCATTTTCAGACTGAAGTCTGAAAGTAGAATTGTGTTTTTTGCTACTTATGATATTAGCAAAAGAGTCTGCTTTAGGATCTTGCATGAGGCAGTGTCAAAGAACATGAGCTCATGTATCTGCTGTATTTGGAGCAAGAGAAATTCTTCTTCCTCCTCTCTCCCCACCCCCAGGGGAGGAAGGTATCACCACATTTACTGAGCAAGGCTGTGCAATTTAATTGGAGCTCATTAATACACTTACTCTGTGGTCTTGAATAACTAATTAAATTTCTGTGGCGATGTCATTGAATGGAAAATAGCTAATGCTTGCTCACCCAGTTAAAGTGACTAAATACGTATTCCTGTGTCTTGAAAACGGGTGGCTATTAACTGCCTGTTTAATACCGCTTCAAACCATCAGGAGAACATACTGTATGAAGAAGAAAAAAAATACATGAACAAAGTGTTGCTTTGGGTCCTGATCAAGGGGAATTATATTATAGCCTAGGCACCAACAGCTTTGAGGAAGAAGAAATCGTTAAAGAAACTTGTGTGAAATTTGGAGCAATCTTCTTCATGGTGTTTATCTCCTGGAAGTAAGTTTGCAATCTGTTTATCACTCTAGCAGTTGACAACTTACTGCATTTTAGTAAAACAGCTTTTTAGAGGGTCTTTTAATGCACAGAACAAGAATACATCAGTGTGAACACAGGATGAGAAAAAACGTAAATGCCAAGTAATTAAACATTCATATTGTAAGCCATAGGAAGCAAAACTAGTTGATTGTGAAGCTTGCCGCATTTAATCTGATGTCAGTGTGAGCCAGAGGTTTCCTAGAGTTTTCTTCTAATTAGCTAAATAGGTAATTACTTAGGATTAACAAATCCTGAATCCAGGTGCTGAGGGTTAACAGTTTAAAAATCAGTAAAAATATTTATGAAAGGAGTTGATTTCTGCCTTTTCTGGTACAGTTTGGTGGGCATTTTCCTGCTGTTCTTGAGTGACACCTAGTGTGTATATTAAGCAAAAGTAATAAATGCCTTTTCCACAAATGCTCTGAAAACTAAGTTGACTCTGTCGTAACTTACTGGTCTCAATTTTACACATCAGCTATATAGCTTGACCGCTCAACAATAACGTCAAACAACATGTTAATCAAAGAAGAAATATTGATCAAAAGGGAGTAATAGGAAATGCTCACAGTTTGTTTTGTAAAGTGCTTTTTTACAATTAATATTACAAAGTTCTTAGGTCTAATTTTATGTTCTCTAAGGTGCTTTGGCCATGTATTTTTCCAAATAGTTATTCATTAAATGATACAGCACCTCTAATTATCTGTATTATTTTTCTCTGTCTCAGCTAAAAGGCCAAAATGTTGTGAAAAATGAATTTGCTTCTTCTCTGTTAAGGCTTAGTCGTCTCCAGATTTATAGTATATTTTCAGAACATGGTAATATTGTTTCTTATCTCATTGTGCTCTGTGATTTGGGGACGCTGTTCGTTATAGCTGTCAGCTGAGCACTGCGTGTCGCAGAACTTGCGAAAGGTGCACTACATTTCTAGGTCAGAAAAAAGTATTATGTCGTAATTTAACTGTGAAAGATTGGAATTTTTTTTATAATAAAGGGTTTTTTTTGTTGCAACATCAGATACTGATTCTTCCGACGCTGCATTTTTTTTTGCATCTAGAATGAAATAAGAGCAGACTGTTGGTTTCGATGTAATACTCAATTTCTTTCCATTCTCTATAATTAGGCTTTGTTAGTTAAGAACAGCCACATCTCTTATGCTGTTGCAGTCATAAAATTCATTACACTGATGTAACACTTTCACTGTATGAAATATTTTATTCTTAGAGTTTTTCAGATACTCTTTCTGATGTAGTAGAGCTTCCCAAAGTCACTTGCAGTAGCTGCTATTGTTGCTAGAAGTTTTTCAGATATGGTCAGTGTAGCTCAAGGCTCACTGCAGTTCTGTAGAGAGACAAAAGATGGGTTAGGTACTCCTGCCTGCCACAGATGATATGTATACTCAAAGCTTTTCAGTGTGGACATTTTTACTGGTTTATTTTTCACCAGTGCACATTAATATAATGTAAAGTGCCCTTGTGTTTTACAGGTCCTTATTTATAAATGTGTACTGTGTTTTTCATATAGTTTGTACAAAGAGCTTTGTTTATGCTCTAATCTCTTAACTTCTGTAAGTCCATGCTTTGTATGGAACATCTTGTTTCTTGAACTTGGTGAAAATGTGAGCAATGTGAGTCCCTGTATCTGGACACAGAGTAAGAACTTTTTTTTTTTTAAGAATCTACAAAATTATGACTCCAGAAAGGTATCTAATGTAGCTCATACTGGCCTTGCTGTGATTATTCTTCTAGACCCTGCTGGCTGTCAAGCCTAGCCTTCCCCCCATGTGCCACTTGCACTGCTGAAATGAGGTGAGCTGTAGTTATAAACAGGAATAGACAGAGCTGTTTGTTTTGACCTGCCGTAGAAGTTCAGCAGCAAAACTTTAACTTACCATTCCTAGGTCTGATTTGGAGGATCTGGAGTATGTATGCAGCAGGTGGATTTAAATATTAAGTAGATGTCAAATAGAATAAATATATATAAAATAGCCTCTGCAATATTTGTGTTATACAGACTCAAACTCATGGTCTGCTTTGGCTTTTGTATAACACTGTTTTTCCAGAGATAATAATCAATAACCTGTTAGAACTTGCTCAACTGTACTTTGAGCTCTTTGTTTTGTAGCAGTAGCTACTGGTTTTAAGACAATATTTTTGTCCTTAGAAGCACATCTAAATATAAACTACAAATGACCACATACTCAGGAGATTAAGATGTGGTATAGATCCGTTCCAACATGGATTGGTCTGCTATCAGAATGTGAATGGAATGATTACAGAAGCAGCTGTATAGACTAAATTTATTACTGCAGATGTGCACAAGTTACTGTTCTGCAAATGCTAATGATAATTCAGTATAGGTTTATAATTGGCTGTAGTCTGTTTGCAACCCTTTTAAAAGGTAGATTGCAGACCACACACAGTAAATACACTGCGTCTGTCAGAGGAACACCTGCTGTGGTGGTGGGTGACCAGGTAGCTTCATGCACTGACACAGTTTAGGAATATAAGCTGCTTTCTTAGTACTGCCTAGTAATGCACGTAAATATTATTTTTAAAATGTACAACTTTGGTTCATTCTGGACTAAAATTGCTGTGGATATTTTAAATATCTAATTCTTCCACCATATTGTAGGTCTACTTTATATAGACTCTACTGTATGAATTGGCAATATTGGTTAAGCAGCTTAAAACAAATCTCAAAGCCAGTGGTGATTTTTAGCAGGTCTTTTTCAATGTCATAAAAACCTGCATCACTGAAACATTCATCACTTTTTGATTCATAACTCTTTTAGACTCTAAAGTCTTTTAGCAGACTTTAGTGCTGGT